CCATCTTTCTTTCTTATTCCTGTGCCCTCTTTAACCCTGCTTTTCTCCCAGACTCCCCAGCCAAACTTCCTTGCCTATTCTTACCCATCATCTTGCCCACATGTCTCTTAATCCCAGTTTTCCCCCTTTTTCCTTACTTTTCTCCAATTTCCTTACTTTTGTTCCTGTTCTCACGGGAGTAAATCTATCTCATTTCAGAAGGCAGTATAAAGAATCTCTTTGACATACAGCTTTTTCCTGGGTCTTGTCAAGTCCTTTCTTCAAAGAGTAGAGATACTTGAGCTTCTCAAAGAAAAAGGCCTTTTAACTTGTGTAGTGAAAAGTGCTTTTCTTTGGCTTTATTTTCAGAAACACATGCATTGTTTTAATGGAGATACCCAAAACTAAATTTAGTATGAAGCTAGAATTTTAACAATTAAAAATTATCAAGAAAGAGGAAAGTGGCCAACAGCTTTAACAGGCAGCACCACTGCTAGTCTCACTTCCTATAGTAATCATCACAAAATGCCAGTTTGAGTTTGAATGTGAAAGTCCTTTTTCACAATATATTGGCAAATTCATAGTCTTGGAAAGAGTAAATATGATGCCGCAAATTTTCCAGGGCTCCCAGTAGAGTGAGTTGCCCAAGGAGGAGGCAGCACATGAGCAGTGATTGCTGCCTGGCCTAGCTGCTTTGTAAGTTTTAGGTGAGGAGAGAGAGCTCCTCTTAGGAGTTGGGCATGGTTTGTGAGTCCTTTGATGCTGGAATTGCCTATGTGTGTGTGTGTCTTGTAATCATCCCTCCTCTAAGACTAGTTCTAGATATGTAAATCAAAAAAAAAAAAAAAAAGACCTCACAAATTACAGCAGCCTATATCACTGTAATCTTACCATTTTATAGAAGGGCTAGACTGGCATGCTGATATGTGGAAGAGGATTAGTGATATGACAGAAAATACACAGCTGTTGAAATAGATATTTGAATTTTTAATAGATAAACTTGTAGAGCAGCTCTACCAGCCTGATATTGTTCAAGGTACTTTTTAATGTACTTTTTCACAGTAGAGTGAAGACATGATCCCCAGGGAGTTAATAATAATTCTTTCATCCCAGGGAAAAAAAGTGAAAGGAAAAATGAGCTACATAAAATTTGCCTGTGACATTTAAAGTCCAAATTGGAGTTTGTCTGAGTAATTTGTCTTTGGGTATTTGTAGGAGGGAGTGTAGGAGAATATGTCTGAGCTTTCTGATAGTTGAAGAGAATTTTTGAGGGCTCAGAGTGGCTGGAAGGTCTATCTGTGTGATCTCTTCTCTAGCAGATGGAAGATAACATTAGGAGGAGTATTTTAATTATCAAAGCATGGGAATTACTCCAGTTCAGTATCACCCTGAGACACCATTTTCTTTCAGAGTGACAGGTGATGTGTTTCTGGGATGTTAGAGAGAGCTTATCCACCCTGCTGCACTGAACATTTGTACACCACATTTTCTCTCACAGTATTAAACCTGTCCACAATCTGAGGAAAGAAATGAAAATACTGCATATCCTTGTAGAGAACATAACAGGTACCAAGGCACTGAAGGAAGAGGGTATGTTTTTCACTTTGACTTCTTTCACAATCTGCTTAGGTTCTTTGAGTTCCTATGAATTACTTTTTGAAACATGTAAAAGATGATTAGACTGACATAAATCGAAAACTTCCTTCATGGAGAGATTCTTTCTCAAAGCATGTAGCAATTTCTGTTTCCCACTGCTGTTACAGTTCTGCTTGCACAGGTGTTTGTGCAACTTCACGCTTCCGTCAGGGCTTCTCTTTGCAACGTTGTGTTGCATGTGAACCTGCCAGCAGTCCTGCATCCAGACCTCCCTTTAACTTCTAGGAATAACATTCAGCATATTCCTGTGTGTATCAGCAGTTAACTAACAGAGGCACAGGCAGCCTTCTGTGCATTGCCTCTGACTTGGGTGAGTTCCTTTGTGTGTCTCTGGGGAGGCAGCTCTGAGTGCCAGCCCTTGCTTGGAGGGAGGAGGAGAGAGGGTTGTGCAGCCACGGGAGCTGTGGTTCAGCAGAGTCCTGTGGTACCTGGGAAGATGTGGGCTGGGGGAGACAGTGCCTGTCCTCTTCTGCGCTCAAGCACGTTCTGGTCCATAGGAGGAGCATCCACCTGCTGCGTGGCACTTTTGGGAGATTGCTGTGTTTCCAGAAGGCAAGACTGGAGCACTGTGTTTATTCTTAGCTGCTTTTCCCCACAGTTACATATTACAGAGTCACTTGAAATACAGCTTTTTCACCAGCTGTTTGCTCCTCATTGGACATTCCTTCCACCCTTTTTCACCAGCTGTTTGCTGTTGAAAAGGGTGGAAGGAATGTCCAATGAGGAGCAGCTAAGGATGTTGGGTTTGTCTAGTTTGGGAGAATAGGAGGCTGCAGGGCAACGTCACTGCTCCCTACAATTTCCTGAGCAGGGGAAGTGAAAAGGAGCTGTGATTTCTTCTACCTGGTGTTGTTATAGGATGCATGGGAAATGGTTCAAAGCTGTGTCAGGGGAGGATCAGACTAGATAATAGGAAGAATTTCTTTACCAAGAGGGTGGTCAAAGACTGGAACGGGCTTCCTAGAGAGGTGATTGAGATTCTGAATGTCAAACCTCAAGATTCGGTTACAAAGAAGTTAAGACAACAGATGGGTTATTCTGCAAGATATGATTAAGATGAACATGTTTATTACTTCCAAAGTGTTTTCACTGTTTTGTTTTAATATTTATGAAGGTTTTCCTGAATTAAGTAACTTCTGTAAACGTACTTTTTTATTAATACCTGAACGTGGCTGTGTGTAATTGGCATGTGATTAATGCATCTAATGGAGTTTCAGTCTTGAATGTGACTCCTTTTGACATGTTTTCTGACTTTTTCTGTTTGCTGTTTATTTTGGCCACCAGAGACATGTGTTGGGTTTGGGGTTTTTTTAGCATAACATTAATTTTTGTTCCATAGTTTATAGCATTATTATTTTATCAAATAACCTGATAAATTAGTACAGCAAGACTGCAGCAGCAGTCAAAGCACTGATGCTTTCTAATGGTGCACTTTACCTCTGCTCTATTATTGCTGCCCATTTCATTATTTGTGAGTTGATTACAGCTGCATTTCTCAGGGGCTATGAAATATTCAGCAGCCCGGACTAGCCATGGGAGAATTGCAGTCTTTGCAGCTGAACACCTGCCCTCAAAGGCAAAGAAAAACCAAAAAGTTATTGTGTTTACAAGTGATGGGGAAAAGCCTTCTTTTCTTTAGCTTTCCCACAGCACCAACTCTAGGTACACGCTAATTAAAAACTGCCACTTCACTTATGCTTGTTATTGGATGGGGGGAAGAATAAGAATAAATATTCAGCTCCTGCATTTCTGCCATATTTGCCTGGACACAGCAGAGGAGGAAAACGAATGTTGGTATAATTGGTTGCCTGTGTGTCAGTGTGAGGTAGTTGACGTTCGGGGTGGGACTGGGGAAGAAAAAAAGCCCCTCTCTATTAAGGGCAAAAATTAATACTAGCAGTTATGTTCTCACACTGTGTCTCTCTGGGGGATTTGCCAGCAATGATTGACTGAAATGTGCAATATTTTACCAAGTAGGAAACAGATAAGGTTTTTATAAACAGGATACTTCATCATTAAAGTAAAGAAACAATTGCTTTGACCTTGTCACTGAATGGGTAAGGCCAGCATTGTGATAATTGAGAATGTAACTAAGCAACAGTTCTCCAGGAGCATGCACTGCTTTATTTTTAGTTGAGTACACCAGTACAGTGGGGGGATGTGGGACACACACACGGCTATGAATGAGCAAAACAACTGGTTAATTATTACTAAAATAAAAAAAAAAAAAAAATTCCACGAAGTTTGAGTTGTAATATGTTCTTATACCAATTTTAATTTGGATTGACATCAAAAGAAGGTAATTGAATCAGTATGTCCTTCTGTGGTCTGAACAAGCAGATAGCCTGACAGTATCTCGGATTTCTTAAGCTGCTTTGGTAACTTGAGTCTCCTCTGAAAATTAACGGTGTAGAAGAAATGGCATATTCCTTCAGAAATAGTCTATTTTATATGTGTTTCCTCTTACTTTGGTGTTAATTATATTTCCTAATCTTACAGGTTAGTATTTCAGAGCCTAATTTATTTATTGCTGTAATTTTGGTTTAAACCACTCTTAAATACCCTAATGAGCTAGTCCCCTACAAAGTTAACAGTGTAAGACCCTTTAAATCTAAAATAAATGTTCAGGGAGGGCATTTAATGTTCTTCTAGCTAAGTCAATTTACAGACCAAGTTAGTTAAATTTTCATGTAAGCAATGGGGAAAAAACAAAGTCCAAAGTTAGTAATTTTTGTTATGTAGGCATTTCAGGACAAATTGGCACCATATGGCCCCTCTGTTGTCCCATAAACAAAAGTATATGTTCCAAGGCTGCTGCCAAGGGAAAAGTTGCAGCCTCTTTACCTCTCTCTGCTTCTGATAAATTTCTCATTACTACCTGGATGCTCTTTCTTTAGATATTAAACCAGTACAATTGCTAAGTAATGATGAGCTTCTACTTACCAAACCCGAGCAGTTACAGAAATCTCTCTGAAGATACTGTCACTCTATAAGTATAAACTTCCCTAACTTTGCATATGGGAGCCTTTAATTTTGATTTGTTCTGTGAAATCTGTATTATTGGCAACATTGCATAGGTGAGAGAATAAAATGTCCTAATTCTCAGCCTAATTTTATCAGATATTTAAAAGCCAAAAGATATTTTACAGACAAAAATAATAAAAAGGAATTTAAAGACTGTATTAGTTATTCTTGAGTATTTTTAATATAGTAAGAAAACCTTTTCATAAAGTGATTTTCTCTGGATGTGGTTTTAAATCTGATTAATCGCAGAATGTAATGTGTATTTTCATTTTCTTAAGAGTGTGTCATAATTGAATTTGGACTTGTGAATATTTTTGCTTTTTTTTTTTTTTTTTCTCTAGGAGGAATCATTTGTCAATACTGTATCTCGCTTGAACATCAAGCCCTACAGAGACTACAAGGTAATTGTTTATACAACTGCTTTCTGTTTCCTGTGGTGGTCAGCTTGGCTTTAACTCATTTTCTGAAGACTCCTGTAATTTATGAGGGTGCCAGTGCTAAGCAACCAAAATAGTAAGCAGCAATGTTACAAGAAGATTTTACTGAAACTGTTGCTTATAGCCTCACCAACCATGGTGAGCTGCGTGGGATTGCCAATGTGTGTAAAACAAAGATGTGGTACATTTAGAAAATGCACTTTTTGTATTTGTGTCTTAAGAAGGAGCAGTGCCAGTCCCAGCCAAAAGGTAAAATCTGCTGAATATGGGTTTGTGTGTGATCATTCAGAAAGTTGTTCCTCACCCCTCAGCCTCTGTCTTTCAGCTGATTTTCTTCCTGGAGCTGTGTGAGGGGCATCACGTGTCCTGCAGTGCTGACACAGGTTTTCCTGCCCCAGGAAGGTGCCTTTGGTCAGTGTAAATGGTTTGGTCAAGGAAAGCCATGACCACCTCATTGGAAACCAGTCTTAGCTCACCTTGCCAAGCTGATAAAAGCTGTTTCTGCTGTTGCAGTTGTGGTAGATGCTGCAGATCTATACATCAATTTGCTCGTCTCAAAGCCTGTTTGGAAGCATGGTTAATGAGGTCACCATGGGTGTGGACAGCAACTGGATAAAATAGACTGCTGGAGGTTCATATTTCATGTTCAAGTTGCACAGCTCTCCCTGTGCTGGGTGCAGGAAAGGATATTGTGGTTAGGAAGTGTGGTGGGGATGTGCAGTCTGCAGAGCAGAGCTGGTACCTCTGCATGGAGACCAACAGCATCCAGCCTTCAGTAGGCAGGCTGGTGCTGCTTGCGTTCATTTACTGGAGGAATGATGAGATTTGAGCAATACCAAATTTATATTGGGTTGCCTCTTAAATAATGTCACCAACACCTGGCAAAAGGAAAATTTCAAGGACTGAAGTTAATTTTAATTCCAAGTGTCCCAGCCTTTGCTGGGGGGCTGTTACTAGTAAGTGATATGGTACCAGACTGGACTTGACTTGATTGTATGTAATGCACGCAATTTTTGGCTGAGTTGAGAAATACTGGGAAGATTTCAAGTCCCTTTCTTAATGCAGTAAGAGCCTTGAAACTTTATTAAGAATCAGTGCTTTGCTACTGCACACCAAGCATGTGGTCTTCACTTAATGCATATTGATAATATTGCAAACAAAATCTTTCAGGGTAGCCCCTCAGTGCTGACTGACCTGCTGCATGTTCCTAGCTTTTCCTAAAGGAAAGTTGGATTGTTCAAACAAACTTTTTTAACCCTAGACAGGTTTAACTTTTCCTATTGGAAATGGAGTGTGCATCTCTGCAAACATACTTGCCTGACCAGGTGCATCCTAAGTTACAGTGACTGGTTGTATCAGTTTGTGTGAATACTCGGAGTCCTCTCTGTCTCCTTTTGTTACCTCTCTGTAGGACAGAGATGCTTCAGTTCCAGATTTTGAGCTCATGAGAAAGGCATAAATAAATGCAACATAAATATGGTTCATAGAATCATTGCTTCTTGGGAATAGTTGTCTTTAAAATGAACACAGAAATCCAAGAGCTTGTACAGATACTTTAGAGATAAAATTAATGTAAAATCAATTTATTACCACTCATGCTTCTAGTGTCTTACCTTGTGGAAGCTAGAGGTCTGTGACAGTTGCCTTTAAATCTGTCAAAGATTAAGCATTTTACTTCTGAACTCTCATTTTCTGATATAAGAAAGAAATTTTCTGTGGAAGATACTCAGATCAGGAAATGAAACACATCTAAAAGCTGAGGGTTTCTCTCTCTTCTCTGTTTGTTATTGCAAATTCTGTTTGCAATAAAAATGTGTTGATGACTGAAGCATGCCTGATGGACCTGAAAAATCTGAACTCTTGCAGAGGAAATCAGAGCTTGTAAACAGATATTATCATGCCACGTAATCCTCCATCAGCATTAGACAGACAGCAACACAGTTCTCGGTTGCCCATCTGAGGGCAACTGTAGGTCCAGAGCATCATCATTTCAGTTAAAAGCTGGCAACCTTAGAGCTGAAAAAAAAGTTTTACGTGGGTTCTAGGGTCTTTCAGAAATCTGGGTGTACTTCTCTGATGTATAGTTCAGCCCAGAAACAGCTGTTTGGCTGTGAGTGAGGCTGGAAGGTGAGGACAGGATCCTTTCTCAACCACCTGTGTTGGTGGTGAAACAGGATCAGTCTTTAGCCTGGCAGATTTTGGGCTGTGTAAAAAAATACAAATGACCTCTCCATGGGTCACTTGATGGGTGTGGTTTGGAGTACCTTCAGATGGAGGTGGAGAAGGCAAGTGTGACAGGTGATACAGGAGGTTGCTGAACCGAGGACTTTGTTCAGTCAGTCAGGAGCCACATCTCCAGGTGCTGCACGCACAGACAGGTCTGGTGTTTCACTGAGAGGTTCCTCCTTGAGGTTCCTGTGGCTTTCAAAGACAACATTGAGAGATTACAGCCAGTGTCAGTTTTAGGAAGCTTAATTATTCATTTAAATAGCATCAAAAGGATAAGAATGTGCGAGTTGAGTGGTCATGAGTCAAGTGTCCAAGGTCAAGTGGTCCTCTCTCCTGGGGGCTGGCAGAAATACGTGTTGTACAGTCATTTTTTTAGAAGCACAGGAGGGGCTTCTACCACACATACACTGTGGTGGGGGGGTGAGGGACATGTGAGGGTGAAGAGCAGGGTGGGGTCTCTTAGGTAGGTCCCCACAGCAGGACAGCAGAGGTGTTGGCAGTCATCCCCTGTAACTTAGGTCTTGCAAAGAACATGCAGGACTGGTTTGTTCCATGTTTGTGGTGGCCGTGGCTGGGCATCGCACTGGTCTGCCTATGTTCAGTGTCTCTGCTCTGGGGTGTCTGGCCTGGTGTTGGCATGGCAGAGTTGTGAGGCCAGTGGCTGAAGGAAAATGTGAGCTAGGTGCCAGCTGGAGAGAGCTTCCTGGCATGGGAACACTGCCAGGGACCTGGCCGTGGTCCTCACCAGAAAGGCAGAGAGCAGGGATGAAGGGGTGCTTCCATCAGAGTGACTCTGCACAGGATACATGGTTTGGTGCTTACAGCTGACAGCTTGCCTGTGGTGGAAATTACTGTTCTGTTTTCAGTTTCCTTTCTGGCTGTTTTTACACCAAGCACATGGGTTTTGGGGTTTGTAGGTATTTGGAATCAACAGAAATCCATAAAGTGTCAGCCTCAGGCTTCTCCTTTTTGCCTGTGTGTGTTTTGAGGAGTGGGTGTGGGGCTTTTTTGTCTGTTAATGGGCTTTTTTTGGGTTGAGTTTGTTGGGGGGCTTTTGTTTGCTCCTTTTTGGTCTGCTTGTTCTTAGAAGTCCCCTCTTGTCTTTATCATTTCACTTTTTTTGAGTTGGCAAAAGCATTTTCTATCAGTGTTGATGTTAATGAGCTCCACCATGTTGGCTGGTGGGAGCCTCAGGAGCCTTGTACCACTGCCACTATCAGTGGTAGCCGCTGCATGTCTGATGGTTTCTTTGCTTGAGATGTCAGGTTTTCCCTCTTCTTCCTTTAGGTTGCTCTTCCAGATGGCTGGCTCTCCTGCAGGAGTAAGCACCCCCAGGCAAGGGCACTCAGCTGCAGCTTCTCAGTCTGAAAGGGTCATAAATACATGAAGTTTGTGCTTTTCATTATACTGAACGTAACAGGAGGGGCCGCCTTGTCAGCAAGCTCCCATGGGGAGGATCTGCACTGAAAGGTTTGCATAACAGCAGGGGGGTGAAAAACCCGCTTGGAGAGCAATGTCCATGAGCTGAATGTTGGTGACGTGGAGTCAGGGATCTCAGAGGTCATCCATGGGTCTGACTACAGCTTGCTAGTTTGTCTTTACCTCTCTGTTTTTGCTGTCTTTCTGACCATACTGCTGAACCTGGGGTGCCTGTGGCTTTCATGAAGGCTCCTAGGGGCACTGGCAGCTTGCCCCTTGTCCCAAAATAACCTATCCATCTCCTCCTCGTTTTCCAGCATGAGGTCTATGTTTTCAAGGAACGTGGTGGGAAGGCAACATTTTTGAGGAGGTGAGGCTGGGTGAGACTTCAGCCCCGCTGGCCATCAGAGAACTGGGAGGGGAGAGATGTGCTGTCAGCAGGGGCTGTGCGCTGCTGCCTGGCACAGCCCAAGCTTTCCTGGTGATGAAGGGCACATGGAAGGAAGGAAGGAGGGTAGTAGTCAAGCCTGGCCACCTTCAGTAAGGGTTCTCTCTCTGTGGGGAGCAATGGGCAGCAGTTCCTACCATGCTGCTTCCTGTATGGCACAGTTAACATAACCAGCCCTTCTTGGGCATAATGCAAAGGAATTTAAGAACTGCCCCATGACAGGAGTTAAGCCTGTTTGTTAGACAGATCCTGTAGAAGTGGAGGGATTCAAATATTCCTGTGACAGGTTGGCATCTGGGAATGGTGGGGGACAGAACCAGGAACTGTGCTGACTGCAAAAATAGGCTTATGTTGAAGGAATGACTGAGACAATTACAGAGCTGCATGAATGATTAATTTACCCTGCTTTTGTTTCACCTTTGATCCCAGGTCCGCTGGAAAGAAAAAAAAAGGTGATTTTGGAAGATGTTTTTAAAATAACAAACAAGTCAGTTGTAATAACAGCTTTACTACACAGATGTGCACCAGCACCACTCCAAGGGTAACAGAATTTAAAAAATCACTTGCTAACATTTTCCTATAGTGTGAATATTTGAAATTTGTAGACAAATAATCACCAAATACTTTGCAGTCAGAACATTTATTCACATTTTAGGAGAACAGTATTATTATTTTTCAAATAGGATACAGAGCGATATAGTAGTAGTGCTTTCTTAATAGCCTTCTTTTAAGCTCAGTGTAGAAAGAATTTGTTTTGTTATTAAAATTACTCCACATATTTGAGACAGATTTCAGCTGAACAACTGCCTAATACGTGCTAGACACATATTGATTTTTTTATCTTAGCCCAACGTTTCCCCTGGGCATC